TAGGTTCACGGCAGCACTATTTACAATAGCCAAAATATGGAAGCAACCTATGTGCCCATCAATAGACAATTAAATAAAGAAGAGATGATACACACACACACACACACACACACACACACACACACACACACAATGGAATATTACTGAGCCCTAAAAAATGAAATCTTACCATTTTCAATGACATGCTAAGTGAAATAAATCAAACAGAGAAAGACAAATAACATATGATTTCACTTATATGGAATCTAAGGGACAAAATAAATGAACAAACAAAATAAAAACAGACTCATAGATACAGAAAACAAACTGGTAATTGCCAGATAGGAGGTGGGTTAGGAAGCTGAGTAAAAAAGGTGAAGGGATAAGTACAAATTGCTAGTTATAGAAACAGCCACGGGAATGTAGAGTACAGCATAGGGAATATAGCCAATAATATTGTAATGGCTATGTATAGAGCCAGATGGGTGCTAGAGTAATTAGGGATATCACTTCGTAAATTATATAACTGCCTAACCAATGTGCTCTATACCTGAAACATAATTCTAAAAAACAAACAAAATATATGAAAACAAAGCTTCTCTAGATATTGGAAATCAAGGTGAGCCCTGCAATGCCCCAGCATAATATCTTGATAAAGTTCCCAGACTTTGGAACAGCGAAGTGAGAAACTCAGACAGAATCGAACAGGTTCCCTGAGTTGAGGAAGTTGAGCTGTCAGTCAGGAGAGACCAAGGTGGCTATAGTGTGCAGAGCAGAATATCAGAGATAAAAGAGCCACACACAGAATTCCAGAAATCTGCAGAGAGTCCCGCTCATCTATTTAGTAGAGTACTAATGTGTGTGTGTTGGGGGAATGGGAGAATGTTGATTAATTTGGAAATTAACCAAACCTGGGCTAAGAACTAACTGAAAAGACTAGGGAACAGAATTCAGTGCTCACACAAGGATGGGAATAGAACCTGCTCTAACCAGCCAGACTGAAAACGCTAATCATGATTCATGGGGGATTGGCTGGAGTGCTCAGGAGGCTCTCATCTCAGCACTGAGGAATGAGTACATTTCATGTAAAATTCTTACACAATATTTGGGGTGGTATAATATCACTTAAAGATCTGAGAGGTTGAAGTTGTACACTATAAACCCTAAAGCAATCACTACAATGACAAAAAAAAATACAGCTGTGTGATCATAAAAAGTATTCAGTTGATCCAAAAGAAGAGGAAAAGAGAGGGAAAAGGAAACAAAGAAAACTGGGACAAGTAGAAAACCAATAGCAGATGACAGAGTTAAACCTAACCCTATAAACAATCACGTTAAATGCCAATGATCTAAGCTTGCTGATTCAAAGGCAGAGACGATCAGATTGATCAAAAAGAGTAAGACCCAACTACAAAGACACGCTTTAAGTATGAAGACACAGCATAAAATAAAAGAATAAGCAAAGGTATACATGATAACATCAAAGCTAGAATATCTGTATTAATATCACAGTATATTTCAGAGCAAAGACTATTCCCAGGGATAAAGAAGGGTCATTTCATAATAACAATGGTGTCGATTCATTAAGTGCACATAAATGTTTATGAATCTAATTATAGAGTTTCAAAATCAACGAAGCAAAAAGTGAAACTTCAAAGAGAAATAAATAAAACCACAATTATAGTCAAATGCTTTAACACCTCTTTTCAATAATGGATGGAACAAAGAACAGTAACGGTGTAGAAGACTTGGACAACACTGTCAACCATCTGGGTCAAGTTGAGGTTTATAGAACACATCTTCCAGTGACAGCAGAATGCACGTTCTTTTTAAATGCGCGTGGAACGTTTACCAAGATAGATTGTGCTGTGGACCATGAAATAAGTCTTGATATGTTTAAAAGTATTCAGATCATACAAGGTGTGTTTCCCGACAACAATGGAATTAAATTAGAAACAATAACAAAAGGATATCTGCAATATTACCAAAGTATTAGGAAACTAAATACCACATTTCTAAATAACCTATGAGTCAAAGAAAAAAAATTTGAAACTAATTAGAAGGTGTTTTGAACTGAAAAAAAATGAAAACAGAACATGTTGAAATTGGTGGAATGCTACTAAAGAGGTACTTAGAGGGAAATTTATAGTATTGATCCTCTATATTAGAAAAGAAGAAATGTCTCAAATCAATGATCTATATTAAGATACCAGAAAAAAGAAGAACAAGTTAAACCAAAACAAAGCAGACGAAAGGAATCAATATTAAAGGAATCAATATTGAGATCAATATTTAAAAATCAATTGTATTTCTATATGAAATATATGAATAAACAATCACAAATTAATATTTTTAAAAATACTACTTACAATAGATTCAAAAATATTAAGTATTTAGGGATAAATTTGACAAAAGACGTGCAAGTGTGTATAGCTAAAAACTACTAACATTACTAAGTGAAATGAAAGCCTTAAATGGAGATATATACCATATTAATGGGTGGGAAGACTCAATACTGTTAAGATGTCAATTCTTGAGAAATTTAACACATTAATTAAAATCCCAGGGGGATTTTTATAGAAATTGAGAAGCTGATTCTAAAAGTCATATGGAAATCCAAGATAAAACAAAAAAGTTACATAAGTCTAGAAATGAATGCCACTAAAAATGTACAAGATCAAGATATCAAAAACATTAATGAACATTAAATAGTTATATCATGTTCATGGCTAGGAACACAGACTATTACGAAACTTTTAATTCTTCCCAAATTCATCTACAGATCTGATATAATTCCAATCAAAATCCCGATGTTACTTTGTGGAATTCAATAAACTAATTCTAAAATACATGTGAAAAAATAAAGAGCTGAGGGTTGGGAAGAAATGGGATAGCAAAGTATTTCTTCTGCCATAAATGCAAATGTGTTATAAAGCTGTAATAATTAAGACCTTATAAAATGTTTATAGCAGCTTTTCTCATTTAGTTCCGTATCTCACCAAACTTTAGTGTGTTCAATCTTTTATTATTTAAACTCTTTTTGTGAGTGTGAAGTGATATTTCATGTTTCTTTTATTAATATATAATAATGTAGCTGCATCAGTTTTCTTATGTTATATGTTCACATGACGTATGTTTTTCTATCCTTTTACTATCAATCTGTGACTTTATGTTTCTTTTAAACTGCACATAGGGTCTTGCTTTTTCTCCAGTGTGACAATATCTGCTTTTAACTTGTAGTATTTAGTCCACTTAGATTTAATAGAACTGTTGCTATGATTAGATTTGTTTAACATCTTGGCATTTGTTTTCTATTAATCCAACTTATTATTTTTTGCTTTGTTTCTCTTTTCTTATCTTCTGGATGAATCATGTATTTTTTAGTAATCATATGTTGTCTCGTATTGATTTTTTTATTCAAAACTATTTTTTAGTGGTCGTATTTGACTTTACGATAACTATCTTTAATTTATCAGAGTCTAAATTCAAATAATATATACTTCATAACAGTGTAAAAACCTTACAACTGTACAATTCCATTTATATCCCACCTTTTGTACTCATCTCACATTTGACTTCTAAATAAGCTATAAATCCCAAAATATGTTAATATTTCTGCTTTAAAAGTCAATTGTCATAAAGATATATAGACATAAACTGATAGCAAAATAAGTCTCTTATGTATAACATTCTGGGTTTGCTTTATTTCTGCCCGCACACCCAGAGTTCCTCCCGGTGTCATTCCCCTTCAGCCTGACGAATGTCTAAAATTTTTGTATTGCAAGTTCTCTCAGCATTTGTGTGTAAAAAATGTCTTTATTTTTTGCCTTCATTTCCGAAGGACATTTGCTGAATACAGAACTATAGGATGGCAGGAGGGTTCATTGTTTTTTGTTTTTAAAGCAATTTATAAAGACATCATTCCATTATTTTATGGCTTCCATCATTGTTGGCAAGAAGTCAGCCATTATTTGTGTCATTGTTCTCGTGTATATACAGTATCTTTTTACCTGTGGCTGCTTCTAGAATTTGCTCTCAATCGTTGGTCTTTGGCAATTTTATTATGTGCCTAGGTATGATGTCCTTTAATTTTATCCTGTTCGAGGTTCAGCTGAGCTTCTTGGATTTCTGGGATCACGTCTTTTGTTAAGCTGGCAGTGTTCTTAGACGTTAGCTCTTCAACTTTCTTCTGCACAATTCTCTTTTTCCTCTAGGATACATGAGACCATTTAATGTTGTTCCATAGATCTCAGACCACCAATTAATTTTTTTCACTGTGCTTTTTTCTTCATATTTTAGTTTGTATACCTGCTGTTAACTATCTTCAAGTTCACTGTTCTTTTTCTCTCCTTTTCCTGGCTTACTCTTAAATATATCTAATAATGTCTTTAGTCCTAATATTATATTCCTTATTTCTAGTATTTCCATTTTGCTCTCTTTTTTTATCATTTACGTGTCTCGGCTGAAATGCCCATCTCTGCACTCACACTGCCTATCTTTCCCACTCAATCCTTCAGCATTTTTATTGTAGTTATTTCCTCTCTAGCCATGCTTGGGATCTTAAGCACTAATGAGATTCCAGAGATCTCGTCATACTTTACAACTGAGCCACCAGCTTTCCAAACCCCGAGAGAACTATCTGCTTTCCAGCCTAGCTGCCAGCTTTTTTTTTCTTTTTTCTTTTTTTCTTTCTTTCTTTCTTTCTTTCTTTCTTTTTTTTTTTTAATCACTGAAGAATTCTCTTCCCTCTCTCACCTGCCCCTGGACTTTGTGCTTTGGGGGACCTCTCTCTCTCTCTCTCTCTCTCTCTCTCTCTCTCTCCCTCCTGCTTCCTTGTCCTAAATCTTGGCCGGGAGACTGCTTTACACTTTCGAGCATGTCTCAGAAGGAAAGTTTCTCTCAGCTCTCTCATCCCACCCCCAGCCTGTGGTACCTGAGAATCCACAATACTTTGCTGCCTTGCTGTCTGCCCCCTCCCTGTCTTCAGGAGGTTACTGCTTTATATTTGTGAGAGACCCTGACCGCCTCAGGGAGCTCTCCCAGTTCCCCTCCCTTGCCCCAAGATCTTTGGTTTACATCCGCAAGCTCTAGGTGAAGATCTCTAGAAAAGAGTTTGTGGATGAGTGAAAACTCATTCTATTGCTGGGACTCCGCGGAATTCCCATCTACCACGTCATGGTGAATCCCTCTTCCCATCCCAAGAATGAGAATATCTGCGGGTCATTTTGTGTGTAACCCGTTTACCCTGTGAGGATTCTTTCACACTAATTTAAGCAACATAAGCTCTAAATTTTAAATTGAATCTTCACTTGGTAAAAATACTTTTTAACACAAATAGTCTCTTTCTTCTCTTAACAGTTTGGTATCCACCTACATCCTATTTGGGTATAGACTAAATATTTTTAAATTAAGTAAAATTAGAGAGACAAGATGTGCCCAAAAGACTTCTTTTAATGGTCATGGATACAGAAGTTACATTTTAAATAAAAATCTCTAAGAATTAGAACCAGCTGTGGAAGGGAGATGGGGAGAAGGGGAGCCTTGGCTCTCTAAATGAAATTAAGCCAACTGAATTTCAGACATAGCGGTTTTTGAATAGCCTTTTTCTCTAATAGATGGTGTTCATAGAGGGGTAATATTGATTGGTTTGAGATTTTAAGTTCTCTCTTCTCTTTATCTGATGTTCAAAGAAGCTAGAATTCTCAAAATGACAACTCGTGAGGTGTTCTTATATCGTGACTTTAGTAAACGTTAAGGTTAAAGGGTCACTCTTAGACAGAGTGAACGAATGCATAAGAAAAGAGAAGGCTGATGCTCTTTGGGGAATAAATTATTTCTACTGATAGAAATAATATATAAAAGAATAAAATTACTGAAATAATTTACTCATATGGTTATACATAACACGACACATTTCTATCTCATATATTTCTATGCCTGAAACATTATTCAGAAACATACTAGAAATTAAACCTTAGTAGTTACTATGTTTTATTTTTAAATGTTAGAAGTCGAGAACTGTTAGGACTGTCCCTAAAATCGAAGATTTTCTAATTATTTTCAATTTTGTCACAGGCCAATATTAAGAGCACCATGGCGATCTGGACAAGTGATGAAATTTATCTCAGATATGCTTCTCCTAAATTTGTCAAATTAATAACTACTAAAAAACTGAAAAAAATTCTGAATATGTCAGCAGCTGCTGTTGTGACTATTCACAAAGTTGAGTATACAGGACACCCTTTGGAACTTGCCGTACTATTAAATTACTGTATTACATGTACCGCCTTTAAAAAAATGTACATAGTGATATATAGCGAAGTTACAGAACAGTGGATGCTCCAAGACTTTGTGTTAAATGTCACGATCGACAGTGTTATAACTTCACGTTTTCTATATACAGCAATGTCAGAATTAATACTATGGGACAAACATAGGGTCTACTATTGTTATCACAATTTCACTGTTACTGGAGTTTTACAAACACCTACAGAATTTGGAAATCTATCGAGATTATCACATGACAGCGTTATCAATACCGTTTTTACAGGTGAGATAGTCTCCCCCCAACATCCCTCCCATGCCCGAACCACCAGTTTGTTCTCTGTATCTATGAGTTTATTGCTGTTTGGTTTGCTCTTTTATGTTGTTTTTTTAGATTCCACGTGTAAGTAAAATTATACGGTATTTGTCTTTCTCTGTCTGACCTATTTCACTGAGCATAATATCTTCTAGGTCCATCCATGTTGGCGCAAATGGCAAGATTTCATTCCGTTTTATGGCTGAGTCATATTCCATTGTATACACGTACCACGACTTCTTTATCTTTTCATCTATTGAGGTACACCAGGATGCCTCCATATCTTGGCTATTGTAAATAATGCTACAATGAACAAAAGGGTGCATATATCTTTTCAAATTAGTGTTTTTGATTTATTTGAAAAAATATCCAGAAGTGAAATTGCTGGGTCAGAAGATAACTCTACTTTTAACTTTTCAAGGAACCTCCACACCGTTTTCTATACTGGCTATACCAGTTTACCATCCTGCTAACAGTATACAAGGCTTTCCCTTTTTCCACCTTCTTGCCAACACTTGATAGCCAGTCTGACAGGTGTGAGGTGATATCTCACCATGGTTTTGATTTGCATTTCCCTCATGATTTGTGATGTTGAGCATCTTTTCATGTGTCCGTTGGCCATCTGTATGCCCTCTTTGGAGAAATTTCTATTCATGGCCTTTGACCATTTTTTTTTTTTTTTATATTGAGCTATATGAGTTCTTTATATTTTTTAGATATTAATTCCTTATCAGAGATATCATTTGACTTTCATCTTAACTTCCTATTTGATCCAAAGTTCATTTAATAACGTTTTTAATGAATAGTTTGAGTGGTGAAAGAGAGAGTGACAGAAAGCATACGAAAGGGTCATGTACTCCAGATTTATGAGATTTGAAAAATCAGCGTGAATTAAATGACTTCTAAACTGAAACCAGGGGGAGAGAATATATTAGAAGAAAAGAAGATTACTAGTTGGGATCGCGGGATGAGGTAGCAAAGACTCGGAAGTGGGAGAGAACGTGGCCAGTTTGCGAAACGGAAGTTAGTTCAGTGCGACTAGCCAGCAGAGCGTGCAACAAAAACTAGTAAGAGATACGGCTGGCTAACGAAATGGGGACCATCTCACGAAAGGACTTAGACATTATATAAAATCCAACAACGATATATTTTTGGTGAGGTTTTATGTTTTATATATCATCATACTATGTATCCTACACTTTTTTATTTGACGAAGACGTATTTTATCAGGTCATCCATCCATGTTTTTCTCTCCTTACACCTTGTGAGATTTCTAAAAACACACATGGCACAACAGGCTAAGAATTGGGTAAGCTTGGATGAATTTATCGCCAAAAGCAAACAAAACAAAATTAAACATATAAAGAAATTTAAGTTATGAAAAAATTACCCAGTCACTGAAAAATCATATCCATAAAGATATTTGCACACCAATGTTCATAGCAGCATTATTCACAGTGGCCAGGACATGGAAGCAACCGAAGTGTCCTACGATAGATGATTGGCTAAAGAAGCTGTGGTACATATATACAATGGAATATTACTCAGCCATAAGAAGAGATGAAATACTGCCATTTGCAACAACATGGATGGAC